TGATAATAAACTTGTAATTTGTGTTGAAATAAAGATTTAGAGGATAAAAATAAAAGGACGATAAGTGGATAAAGTTTTAGAAATTGGGAGCCAGCATTGAGCGTTCTGGAAGGATTGAAGGTTGCTGGAGTTATCGATAATATTAATCAATACTAAAGTCTGTTTAGAGAGTGTATTTTCGGGTCTTAACAATTGGAAAATTATCAAATTTAACGGTTTAAAATTTTATTTATCGTTTTTATAGCCTACAACTAATTTCAAATTAACTGTCTTTCATTTATGAAGAGTATTCAAATAATAATAATAAAAATTGAAAAGGGGACAATAAAAATCAGCATAGCCAGTTCGATCGTGTGTGTTGGTTGTTATGACAACGGTCGTCGAACTTTAGGAGAAACTCAACCACTCTTCTCCTTATTGTTGGCTTTTCCATTTGGAAATAGTTTATTCCATTTAATTTCGATAAACAAAAGAAAAAAAAGTTATTATTTGACTTAGGATATTGTTCTAGAGAATCGAGAAGAGGGGGAAATCATTAAAACAGTGTATTTATTTTACCGTGTTCTTTGTGTATTTGAAACAACTTGGATACAGTAGAAAAATGGCATAAACTTGGAAGTTTTGACAATCGGTCTGTTATAGGTTTCTGCAACTAGTCCTTGCCAAAAATTTATTTAGAGTTCTGAGATAGAAAAGCTTTTGTTTCGTCCTGTCTTAACAGATAGATAAATCTTTTTTATGTTTTTTAAAATAGGAAAGGAGTTTGGAAAACACACTCGAAAACAAGTTTACCAACCTTTATGTCTACTTTATTAGAATTTAGGTGGGTGATATCGCGTGATTATGCATGATTCCTGGGTCCCACACATCAAAAAAGGATAAAATGTCAAGCAAGCAGATGGTGCGTATCGCGCCCACCTACACGATCTTGATTCGGTTTGAGACTATTTATCAAGGTCAAAAAACATCCATGACTATAATATATAAGAAGGAACAACGGAATAGAATTGGTACCACCATTTTGAAAAACGAAACTAATTTAAACAATTCAAACGTATGAAAAAAAATCGATTGATTAAACATTATTCGATTCTCCTTAAGTAATTAGTTTTCGGAGTATCAAATTCTTTTAAATATAAACTTATATAATCATTAAAAGAAAACAAAACGAAATATATCTATAATCTCAATAAGAAATTTAAAAATCGATTCGTCATTTCCTTTATAGTAAACGTCTCTTCCGTTTACCCAAGCTATTTTTAATCGAAACTAACTTTGGCAATTCGCCCAAGGATGACATTTTGACAAATCTTTCCACCACCGAAAGTAACGCTATTGACATTACCGACGCATTTATGAATTTGCAAATTGTCCACTTCGTGCCTCTCCACTATGCAAAACTCTTTGTAAATACCGACAAACTTTCTCCAAAAATAAAACTGCAAACCTGCACTGTTCCTAAATTACACTTTTCTTTTTAATAATTCAAATTGCGTTTTTCTTTCTAAATAAAAGGTGCCGAATAAAATATTAGAGGGGGAAAACAAACAAAAATTGCTTGAATTTTGTCACAATTTAATGCCATAAAACGTACAGAAGAACGAATTTACGACTGTCACTGACCTCCTATTTTTATTATTGTGTGAAAGTGAGTGCATTGTTGAGTTTCTGTAAATAGTTTCCGCAGGATTTTTATATATTCTTTTGCTTGCCAAGTGTGAAAGATTTGTATTTTCAGCACAAAAATCACGAGTTTCTTTTACGGAGATGTGCAAAAACATAATTAAACTTTATATTATTATTTTTTTTTTTTAGGAACTGGTACGTTCGGTCGAGTATGCTTATGTCGCGATAGGCTAAGTGGAGGTTACTGTGCTATGAAAATCCTTGAGATCGCTGACGTCATTAGATTAAAACAAGTGGATCATGTGAAGAGCGAAAAGACCATTTTAATGCAAGCCAAGCATCCTTTCATCATTGACCTGTGAGTAACCTAATTTTAATGTTTCATTTTTTTCTTTTAATTGTGAGATTATTTACAATCTGGTTTTTCAGGATGTGGACAACTCACGATGATTATCGTCTGTACATGCTCTTCGAATATGTTTGTGGAGGAGAACTTTTTACGTACTTAAGAAACGCGGGGAAATTTAGTAATTCGACTGCATCATTTTACGCTGCAGAGATTATATTAGCTTTACAATATCTCCACGATCATAATGTGGTATACAGAGATTTAAAGCCCGAGAATTTGCTGTTAGATAGAGACGGACATTTGAAAATTACGGATTTCGGTTTTGCAAAGAGGCTCCATGACAGGTTTGTTTAAATTAAAACAGCATATGCTGTATATGAACGCTTCTTTTCCATTTTAATGATGATATTCCTTCAAGGACATGGACGCTTTGCGGAACGCCGGAATACTTAGCACCAGAGATAATACAGAGCAAGGGACACAATAAAGCAGTCGATTGGTGGGCACTGGGAATTCTTATATACGAAATGCTAACAGGGTTAGATATTTTCCTAATAAAAATAATTAATTGTTAACGTTTGAAGATTGATTTTAAATTCTATATACAGTTATCCACCTTTCTTTGATGATACAGCATTTGCTATTTATGAAAAAATATTAGCTGGCAAAATAGAATGGCCTAAACACATAGATCCAGTCGCTAAGTAAGTTTTAGTTTTTATGTATTCTAATAATGTTTATCTTTTACATTATAAATGCATTTTATTACATTTTTATGACAGAGATCTTATCAGAAAGTTATTAGTTAATGACAGAACAAAGAGACTAGGAAGTATGAAGGTAAATAAACTGTTCTGTACAATATGTTTCCATGAATTAACTTTATATAAATGCATTTTAAAGCACTATTTAAAAATATAGAACGAAGCTGAAGACGTAAAGAGGCACAGATGGTTTAAAGGGACTGACTGGGATGATGTTTATTATAAACGTTTAAAGGTATGTTGTAAAATATTTATTTCATAAATATTTTATGTTTGAGAATGTCTGGTGGTGGGACTGTTTCATTTCTACTGTTTTTTTTTTTCTCTTCTCTCTCTGTTCACTGCAGCCTCCTATTGTACCAAAAGTGTGTTTTGATGGTGATACACAAAATTTTGAAGAATATCCAGAAGGAAATAAAGATCGTTCTACATCGTTAAGTGAAGAAGATTTAGAAATATTTAGAAACTTTTAATAAAATAAAAGTTGGACCTTTTACAAACTGAAGATTAAAGTTATGAGAAGGGGAAAGAACAAAACTGCAGCTATTGCAAATTTTTTTTTATCTTTTAATTTCTTTCTTTTGTTCAACTGTTACTAAACTGTAGTCAAGAAAGCAAATCAGTTTAGGAAAATATTTATTTAAAAATAATTTTTTGTAAACTTGTTCTTTCAGCCTCCAATAATCCCAAGAATTCGTCACGATGGTGACACTCGTTACTTTGACGGATACGTTCAGAGGAAGTTGAAATTAATTTTAGAAAAACCAAGTGAGAGAGATATAGAACAATTTTATGATTTTTAATGAATCTCAACACTAAAACTTCTTAAAATTTTTCAAATAAATTTTGTTTATTTATTCTGTTTTTGATATAGCTTAACTATATAAATTTCCACTGCCAAGTACAATAAATTTTAAAAATTCCAATTTAAACAGAGCAATGTCTCATTTAAAATAGAATAAATGAAAATTTCACTAACATTTTATAATTTTTTTTTGTTTTTTTGTCATATCACTTAAATAAAAAGGGTGAAGACTAGAATTTTGAATTTTAAATATGACTGGATATTTTGATAGGACACCAATATGTAAATAGGAAACTGTTTTTGAAAAATAGTAGTTTATGTAAATACTGATAATTTTGCAAATACTAGTCCAATGTAAATGTAGTTTAAATAAATTGTTTCTCTTGCAAATGTGCATTGTTTTCAAAATAAATTTTCAATTTATAGTTTATACAAAACTGTAATAAACAATTCTAAAATAGTAAAATCAAAGCCTTCAAAAACAACTTTTATAAATAGGAAAATAATTTTTTAAATTATATTAATCTGGTAAAATTAGCTGAGATTATCAAAATTTAAACTGTTTTAAAGTTAAAAGTCTTTCATTTAATTGAAGTAGATTAAACTTAATTGTAGGGCAATTCTTAACTGCTGGCAATAAAACAAAAATGCAACAGTAATTGTTAAAGAGTATTTAAAATTAGTTATCTTAAAAGTTGTCAGAGTAATTTAAACTATTTAAATTTGGATTTAAAAGTGAATTAATTTTGAGTTTTAATGGTGAAAACATTTTGCATTAATTTGTTTAATCAAAATATTAATTCTAGAATCCTTTACAATAAGAAATTGGAATGGCTATTCTTATTCATGCCTTTTCTTCATTTGAAACTTTGCATGATAAAATTATAAACTTGATTAATTTAATGAGAATCTATATTGTAATCGAGTACTTCTAATATTCTTTATCATATGTTAATTACATAAAAATATATTTCTACTAAATATAAATAGCCAAATATATATTTAAAAATAGTAATTTTATATGTATAAAATACAGTTTAAATAAACTTTTATTATAAATTAATAAATGTTCATTTATATAAAGATATTGTCAATTTTTCAAATCTTAATACAACAAAATCTTTAAAAAATTTTCAAATTTCTTATTTTTCATCTAATCTTAATAATTTAAATCAATATGTAACTGGTTTAGTTCTTTACTAAGTAGAAAGATCATAAATGAATAAAGGCAACAATGATTTAAATAATGAAATGTAATAAAAGAGAGAATAAATTTATAAATTTAAAATTATTATGAATTACAACTTAATAATTTAAAATGTGTGAACAAAAATCACTAAAATAAAATTTTACTTCTCTTTATATTAATAATTAGGCAATTATTTAATATTTAAACGTTACTTTATTTCTTTATAAAAAAATAACTTTATTTACATCAAGTATTTCATGAAAAATTTAATTTTTTTATTTTTTACTTGATATTAAAATATTAATGAATGAACTTGACAAAAACTCACTTTTTTGTGAGTTATTTCTTCAAAAACTGCATGTGGTGTGCAATATGATCACTGATAAAAGATGAAATGAAATAGTAACTATGATCATAACCCTGAAATAAAAAAGAAATTATTTAAGATTTATATAACAAGTTTTTCAAACTTGACCTATTATTTTCACTTTTTTACTAATTAAATTATTTTATTATTATAATATTCATTACTGAAATACAATGAATTGGTAACAAAATTTATTCACTTAGCTTATTTTTTTAATATGATAATTTTATTCAGAAATATAGACTACAAAATTCAGTTATGTTAAATTTCTTGGAAAAAAATTACTTATAGAAAAATAATATACAAAAATATAACAGAGAATAAACAAATATAACTGAAATCATATTTATCTATGCAAAATTAAAAATTATTTTGTTTTTTTTAAATATTTATGGTAATCAATATAATTAATAATCTCATTCCTGTCTAAATGTTCTATCTACAAACAGTTGTTACTATTAAACTTCAGTTAATACTTCAGGTTTTAATTCACTAATAATTTCATATGGTCTCTATTCCATCTTATTAAAACAATATATTCAGCTAATTCTGTATACATTTTACTTCTGAAAACAAATACAAACTAAAGATATCTTTTTCTGACAATTACTTCTATCTTAATATAATTTATGATCAGATAATTCATGGTAACTTCTGTTCCATTCTATTCACTACATTTTTATTTCACTACCATTGCTATTATTTTTTATAATTAACCCCTTGCCGTCATAATAATTCTTCATAACATGTTGTAGCTATGTGATTTAAGAATATACTGTACAGATCTGATCAGATGTAATCTCTCTAAAAATTCATTTATAATAAAAATTGTGAGCAAGGGGTTGACAGTTTATTTACCTTGATATCTTTGTGTTTTAAACTTATGAAGAAAATACTAATTTAATAAATATAAATATATACAGTATATATATAAAATAAATATCATTAAATTCTACAAAAGTAGCATCTGAGTTTTAGTTTGATTAATCTAAAATAAATTCTATAATCAATCTATAGCTTTATAATACTTAAATTAAACAATTTAAAATTTTAATATAATCTACATAATTAAATATATTAATATATTTAACAATTTAAAATTTTATCAAATATTGAATACTTGTCATATGAAAAAGCTGTTGTTAAACAATAGTAATAAAAAAATAAATTTTCTAATACTAAGAGAAAATAAATATATTGTAGATTTAATTTAATTGAGAAGTATATAGAAGCAAATGCTGAAAGAAAAAAATCCAAAAGATTTGTAGTAGTTAAAAGTAATTTACATCAAATCCATTCAAAAGTTGTTGAAAATTTTAAAATTCAAAAGAAACTTTGTATTCTCCATAAAAAATCTAAAAAACACAAAGATTTCTACAAAATATTATTTTAGATGTTTTATTCAAAAATAAACAACTTTCAAAATATTTTTGATAATCATGAATAAATTAACTAAACATGTTATTAATTGCAAATTTAAAAAGTTTATTTTTGTTCTTAGTATTTTAAAATTTATTTCACAATGAGACAGCAATAAAACTTTAATTAATATATTAGAATGTATATCTAAATTTTTAGTGATCAACAAAAAATAAAATTGTTGCCTTTATTCTCTTCAATTTTTATATGTTTATCAACATGCACATTTCTAACGGACATTCAATCCTCTCTCTCTCTCTCTTTTGTGTGTTTTATTGAATTATGTACTACTTTATCAAAAATATTTAATGTTTCAATTCTTCTGATACTTTCTCCTAAGTTCATACTCTTTTCATTTCTGCATCATCCCAAACATCTTAACATATGAATATATATTAAAATACTTGAATTGTATCATTAATACTCTGCAATAGCATATTTCTATTGAATATAAAAATTACTATTCAGTACAGCATGAGAATATTTCACAATAATTTCACAGAATGCTTGGAATATGGTATTCTTAGAATCAGCTGGACAATATAATCCATAAATATGTAACAATAAATATTAATTTAATATAATGTGATAAACTTATAATTACATACTGAATACAAATGAAAGTGATTCAAAAGATGACTATATTAACTCCAAATGACTATAACAGTAACAGACAAAAACAGTATTTAAACAATTGACACCATAATTTATTGAGTACAGGTAACTCCCGTATAACACAGCACTTCTATAGCACGAATTCACTCTAACACGGTTCGAGAATTGGTACCATCCCCCGTATAACACGGTACTTTTATAGCACGGATTTACTCTGACACGGTTCAAGAATTGGGTAAAACCCTCGTACAACAAGAAATGTAATAAATTTTTACATATTTAAGTAATAATAGTTCACGAAAATTCGTGAACTATTAGTACTTAAGTATGTAAATTTTCTCTTCTCGCCTTCTGTCGATACACGTGGTCCTTCTCGAAACTTGTTTCAATGTTGCCAGATCGCGACGCTTCTGCTTCTGATGTTGCCGAATGTTTTTCCCTTATTCCATACTTGCTTTATTCTTCATAAGTGCTTAGCACCATATAAGGAAATTTATAAAGACCTTTTAACTAGAAGCAAGCAATCTAAAATTACATACATTTTGCAAAAGGTAAAGCATGGATCTGAAGATAATGCAGAAAAATACTCAGAGGATAAGGATAACTTGCCAAAAAGAAAACGCTCTCGGTTAATTAATAGTGTTTTTAGTGATGACGAAGAAAACATTGTTTAATTTATATTAATATGTATCACTTAAAAAATTTTAATGAAGATATTTATCTTAATTATGAAAATATACTAGCATGTTTTTTAATTTTTAGAACCTAACCCTCCTTTTCATATTAGTTCTTTGTTTCGTATAACATGGATTCGCATAACACGGCAATTTTTTGGAACGTAACTACCGTGTTATACGGGGGTTACCTGTAGTTACTGTATTTTTATATCTCCTCACTAAGAATTTACTTAATTTCTTAAAAAACAATTATTTACAAATATAAAGACTTAACTACAAAAATCCAGCAACAAGTTACATAACTTTCTTGGCATTCAACATTCAAACTGTGCACGATGCTATCTGTTATGTGATTTTATTAAACTGTTTTATATTATTAATTATTATAAAATGGCAAAAAGATTAATTTTGAAGGCAGAGATAAGTTTTATAAAAAATTATAAATGCTAATAACAAGTAAATCTTAATTAAGTCCAACCCCACTTGAGATATGACACATGGCCCCCCTCTATATCTTCTACATTTAATAGAATCAATCCTATAAAACACAAACCTCTTGAAAAAATTTCAGAAATTTTTGACAAAAGGCACAGGAGTTAAGCTTCAAAGTATGTGAATAAAATTGTGCCTCCAATCAAACATCCATACATACTGAAACTTTTTTTGCATTTCTTGATGTTTCAATTCTAAAACTATAAAAATCTTGAAGGGATCATTTTTTGACTGATTGCCATGCTTTCCTTCTGTTATATATAAAGGCTGGAATAGTAAAAATAAATTTTTGAAGTCTGTTGAATGTCCATGCACTTCACTGGAACATAATCAACATTAGTGGAGTTGACCTTTCTTAAAGGCTACTTTCCCATATATATGCAAATTTTAATCTTTATTTCACAAAACAGTTATTGTTTAAAAAATGTTTATACTTAAGCACATTTTTTATATATTAACTTAAAATCACCAGGATTATTATCATTATGCATTTTGTACAACTAATGTAATACAATGCCAATGCATTATAATGAGGCTGTCCAATAGTGGCATGCTGGCCACATCTAAACCAAAACAGAATTTTGTGGCTTGCAAATATCTTAAAAAAATCATTAAAAACATTTCATATTTTGGATTAGTGAACATAGAAGAACTTGTGGCACAACAAATTTGGCTACAAAGTTTCCATTAACAATTTTAATTTTTATTGATTTTAAAGCTTTTTACCTTTTATTGTTATAATTTTGTAAATGAATAAAAAATAGAGGTAAATATTTTTATTAAGGGTTTATCACACCAATTTGTAACCACATATGCAATTTCACAACTTTTTACTTTTTCCATTTTTATAAAATTAATATACAACTAAATTTTTTTAGTTGTATATAAGTAGATTTTTATGTTGTGAAAAGAGTTAATATGTTTGCATAAATTGTATGCAAATATGTTTCATTATATTATTTTTTAATCAATAAAAAACATTACAATTTGTAAATATTTTATTCTACAATTGTTTAATAGCAACTGTTTTGATAATGAATAAATAACATGTTAAAATCTACTGTTTTTTCTTAGTACCTAAGTTTTGTTATATACAATATAAGACTTAGTTTCATTTGGAAGTGAACCTAATTCAATTTTTACATAGTATTATGTTTTACCATTTAATATTTATACTCAATTCTGACCTGCTAAAACTTTATATAAATAAAATTGGCCTACACCAATAAATAGAAATTGGACAGTCCAGCATTAATCTATGGCAATTTTTCCAATTTTGAAAATTATTTATATATTAACTAAGAATTAATAAAATTTTATTATTATAGAATATGTTCACATTCTTATAACAGTTACAGAAAAATTGTTCAATTATATTATCTTTTACATGTTTTTGTTATTAGACCAAATTATTATTATTATTTAAAATAATAAAGATATTTGTCATTTATTTTGTTATCAGGCATACTTCTAGCTCTGACTTGCTTTCAAATACAGTAGTTATTTAATTTAAAATATTATCTTATTTGTATTTTTATCTACAATATCAACACACTTTTACTTTCACTAAAAAGTCCCAAATATTTGTATCATGAATGTGAAAAAACAATTATAGAACTGTTCTTTATATAAATGTTAAAATAGAATTTGTATAATTTGTAATACCACCACTTTTACTGATCACTATTGTTTTTAATACTGAAAATTTTAAGGGAAACTTTTAATATTGATAAAGTTATGATATAGAGAAACTAAAGATATTTTTATCAATAATATTAGAAACAAAAATACAACAACCAAATTTTTTTTATTTAGGAGCTCAATTAATATTTTATGACAATCAATACTTAAACAAAATGAAAAAAAATTTAATTCAATAACAATATATTACTTCATGGAAAAATAAATTAATATTAAATTTATGCATTTAATATTTAAAAGCAAAAGAGATAAACTAAAAATAAGAAGAGATTAATTAAAAAATCTATTAGTAAATATATTTTATAATGTCAATATTGAAATTTAAATTTCTGAAACTAATTATTGATACAGAAGTTTCAATTGTTAAAATTAAAAATCTTTTCTTATATAAAAAAAAATTTTAGTACCCAATAAAAAAAATTCACAAATCTTCAAAAAATGTGTGTAAAATTTGCCTTAATATTCAGTGAAATGTAATAAATGCAAATCTTTCAGTTAACATATATTCTTCAGGGAAAGTTTATACAATGCATTACATAATTAAGGTTAAGAAATGTTCAAATAAAATCATAGTTTAAATATACATTAAAAAAATTTATGACACATTAATTAAATCTTTATTGTTTATCTATGTCTCTGTAATAATAAAGTTATGCTTGGTTTATAACAAATCTTTTTAAATAAAGGCATTTAAAGTTACAATATAATATAAGATTATACACTACAAACAGAAATTCTGGATTTTAATACTGTAACATAAGAAAAACTTATACTTTTATGTTAGGATAATTAATTTTAAGTATTGAGTTTGTCATCCCAAATAATGAAATTGATAAATTAAATAATTAATAGTAACATTTATAAGAATATTGAAGCTTATGCTTTACTTTTACAAAGTTAATATTGTAATGTGTTTTGACATTCTTATCACTATTTTTTTTAATCACAAATTCAATGTATAATTTTTGAATTTGTGATATTGAGTTCTAAAGTTTTGAAGAAGAGTTAATGTTCAAAAAAAAAAAAGAATTTTGTTTAAGTTGTTCCAAAACTCTATTAGCTTGGTTTCTTTTTTTGAGTTAGCTATTAGTGAAGAAACTCAACTTGAGTGAGTTTTTAACCTTTAGTAGTTCCCCATGATTTAAGGAAATGAACAAAGAGCATGAATTTAAGTTATTTTTAAAATTTGAATTTCTTGAACTTTTAAAAACTATTGTGTATTATATTTTTTCTTATGTAAATCTAATAGAGTTATAAAGTAATTTTTGTTATTTGAAAATGACTAATTGATAAATGGAAAGTCATGTCTGTTAAGTTAGTAAATTTAATTTAATGATTATTTCTTTTGAATTTATTTCTGTAATATAATACTTAGCTGAAAGATTAGCCTGGAAAAGTATATATCTTTTTTTTTAGTTGAATTTTTAAATTATTATTACAGGTGTGTACTACTTAACAATGGTTCACATGTAAGACAGAGGTCCAAAAAGATTATAATGGAACTGAAAAGACATAGCCACCTCTACCTTTTATGTTTAGATATTTTTCAGACAAATACTTATCATTGTAACACAATAATAAGTACAGTAGAGCGTCAATTATCCGAATCAATTGGGGACTGGGGTTGTTCGGAAAATCGATATTTCGGATAACTGATTATGTACGAAAAAATATATTAACCTATCCCATGTTGAAATTTTTCTCCGTTGCATGTTGCTTTGTGTTGAATTTTCATCGATGTTAAGCCTAACAAAGACTTTTAAAATAATAACGAAGACTATTGTATCGTTAAAAATTATTTTTTTATTTTGTACAAACAAAATAAATATATTGAAAAATATAAAAAAAAAAAAAAAATTAAACTTCAGAAGTTAATTTAGTATCAAAAACGTAAAATATTTGAGTAGCCCAAGACATAGCCAAAGAGTGCAGCGCCACGGCACTGGCAAAAATTTAAATTTGCCAACTAGAATTCTTTCGGATAATTGACGCTCTACTGTATTTACAATTGAAGAATTGTATTAAATAAAGCCTATATAGTAGTAGATTATGTCATATAGGTTTGTGAATTGCTTAACAATATATTTCTCAGAATATTAAACAGCACATATCTTTATTATATTTCTAAATATGTATTATGTTAATTTTAAATTTACCTCTTGCATTCTTAATATTACAGGCATTTTACTTTCTGAACAAGCCTTAACAAAGTTTTCAGGTAACAGTTGTTTCAGATTTAAAAATTCATCTTCACTGCCCTGCAAAAAGAAAAATATTGTTTACATTAGTCAATTAGATTTTTTTTTTAAATTGAGAAAAGCTTATTTAAAAAAGTCTGGGTCATAAATTACTGTTTTTATTTTTATTATTTAAGCAATTTCAAGTTTATAACTCAACTTCTGTTTCATAAAATCTAGAAAACTTTTCTAGAATAAAATATTGTTTTATAAGCAGTAATTACTTATAAAAAGAGAATCGAATAAAGCAAATTTAACTTGTAATAAACAACAAAAGCATATAACTAATTTTATCTAACTCTAGACTGTCTTTCTTAGACTTTTCTAGCTTTAATTAAATTCTTGTTTCTTCTAATTCTATGTCACGACTTGGTGCATTTATCGACACTTGGCAAATAATTTCATCATCCACTTTTAATTCATACAGATATGTGTTTCGGGCTTTTGCCCCTCTTTAGTCTGTTACATTGATAGGTTGTGACTTGTGTAGTCAGGCACCTTCCGTACTTCCCCCCCGAGTTGACAGCCTCCCCTGCATGCCTTGTAACGTGTCACTTCCCTGAGTGCTGCACACAGCCTCGCCTGCAACTGCAATGCTTAGGTTCTTGTTAATATTATTTTTGTCTGTAGTAATTTCGTAGCTTTCCTTGAATTTTCTTTTGTACCAATTTTTTTTCTTTGTGTACTATTATTGCATCATTCTTATCTATTTTGCAGTTGTGGGTCGTGCAATGTTCATAAAAAACAGAGCTGATTCTATTATACTTCAGGTCTGTGATGTGTTCTTTTAATCTTGTTTCTAACTTTTGTTTTGTTTCTCCAATGTATACTTTTGGCGGTTCGCATGTGCAAGGTATTTTATAGACGACTTTGGTAGTGTTGTATTTGTCTGGTTGTTTATTTAGGTCAGGTTCAGCCTTCCGGATTCTTTTTTGCAAGTTGTTATAAGTTGGGGCTAGCTTTATATTTATTTTATCAAAACTTTTGTTTACCTGTTCAAAGAAGCCACGAATGTAGGGGAAGGGTATGTATCTTTTATCTCTGTTTTGTTTATTTTCCAGCCTTTCGTTGTTCATTTTTCTTTCCCAGTTATTTAGTATTCGTTTTGGGTAGCCGTTTAATAGGAATTTAGTTTGCAGTTCGTTGAGGTGTTTTTTCTTCTTCTGTAGTGAGCTTGTTCTGTTCTGGATCTTTTTATACTTTATGATGAATATGTTTTCTTTTATGTAATGCGAAATGTTTGAATTGTAGTTTAACACTTTCCCGATCTCGCATGGTTTTGTGTATGGCTCGAATTCAATCTTGTTTGCTTTCCTGGCTATTTTAATGTCTAATTTTAATTAAATTATTTAATAATTAAAATTATAGATAGCAATATATCTATTTTTTGTAGCAAACTATTTTGATCATTAATTAATTACAAAGCCATTTAATAATTTGGCATAAATATTAATAAAATTTAATGGTTTACATTATTTAGTACAGTAATACCTTGAACTTACACGATAGGTGGGACTGAGCGATAACCACGTAAGTTGGGGTATAATTTCGCAATTTGTGTAAAATCCAAGTCGGATGTATGTAAGCTAATAAATGTTCTCATTAATCTTATGTCGTCTTTTGATTTGTTTACGGTTACAAGAAATCACCACATAGAGTTTCTCAAGTCTCTGTAGATATAACAAACACAGAAATAAATAACACAAAATAAATTGTAGCTATGTGTTGATTCTGTGCGACACATCTGAACATGTAAGCTGAACAATAGTGAGGGGAGTTAGTAATCAAGAGTTGTGTGGCGCTCAAACAAAAGACGAATCAATGAGATTTGAAAATCGCGTAACTTCAGGTTTGCATAAGTCGAGGTATTACTGTATTTGGTATTAATGGAACTATTAACAATATATAATTGTAAAATTCAATACAACTTTTTTGATTATGAAGGTTTAAAGAAAGAAATAATTTTAACAAGAAAGTAGTGAGAACATACAAAATGACTATAATTAAAGTATCCCTATTCAGAACCATCTAAAAAAATTTATAGTGGCCAAAACTCAATCAAATTTAGCTGAAAGCATAATAGTAATACAGAGCACAATTTTTACAGGCATATAGATATAGTGAGACATAAAACATTTCAATACTATACATGCAAGCAGGGGCGCCGCTAGCTGTTTGAATGCCCGTGTGCAATACCGATTATGCTGCCCCCTGTTTAACTACGACTACCTACTCTGAGCTTGCCAGAAAGCTCTTTAGTGTTGTCTCCTAAGGGTGTGAAAAGAGAAAAGAAATACTAATTATTATTACTAAGTTATTTTTGTTTACTTAAGTGTAAAACCATATAAATAATTATCTACAGAAATTGAACTCTTCTTGCCTTTATGTTTGCGAAATCTGATATCAATTAACTTGCATCCAAGCTGTCTAAGATTTCGTGTTCAATTGAAACTATAGCTAAATTACTTAGTCTTTGCTGGTGCATTGTTGATCTTAAATAGTTTTATTAATAATTTTTAACTTTGAAAAGGACCTTTCACCAAATGCAACTGAAACTGGCAATGTAAGTAATATTCTTAGTGCTATTGCTGTGTTCGGAAATGTTGAAATTAAGTCATTACTAAAAAGATATTGTAATAGGGTTAGTTGATCATTAGACTGGTTTACTGAAAAATGCAACTTTAAAGTATTGATTTCATTAAACAAATCAATACCGTCAATGTCTGTTTCACTACTTGAATCGTCTTTAAGCTTCAGATTTAAATCCTAACCAAGTTAAAATACAGTCAATCCCCCTATAACACTGTTGATAATTCCGTTTTATATAAATTCCGTGTTGTACGAGTCACTTAGATTTTACAAATACGTGTGCCGGGCTGTGAACGGCTCACGTATTTGTAAAATCTAAGTGACTCGTACNGGCACAACAAATTTGGCTACAAAGTTTCCATTAACAATTTTAATTTTTATTGATTTTAAAGCTTTTTACCTTTTATTGTTATAATTTTGTAAATGAATATAATTTAATTGAGAAGTATATAGAAGCAAATGCTGAAAGAAAAAAATCCAAAAGATTTGTAGTAGTTAAAAGTAATTTACATCAAATCCATTCAAAAGTTGTTGAAAATTTTAAAATTCAAAAGAAACTTTGTATTCTCCATAAAAAATCTAAAAAACACAAAGATTTCTACAAAATATTATTTTAGATGTTTTATTCAAAAATAAACAACTTTCAAAATATTTTTGATAATCATGAATAAATTAACTAAACATGTTATTAATTGCAAATTTAAAAAGTTTATTTTTGTTCTTAGTATTTTAAAATTTATTTCACAATGAGACAGCAATAAAACTTTAATTAATATATTAGAATGTATATCTAAATTTTTAGTGATCAACAAAAAATAAAATTGTTGCCTTTATTCTCTTCAATTTTTATATGTTTATCAACATGCACATTTCTAACGGACATTCAATCCTCTCTCTCTCTCTCTTTTGTGTGTTTTATTGAATTATGTACTACTTTATCAAAAATATTTAATGTTTCAATTCTTCTGATACTTTCTCCTAAGTTCATACTCTTTTCATTTCTGCATCATCCCAAACATCTTAACATATGAATATATATTAAAATACTTGAATTGTATCATTAATACTCTGCAATAGCATATTTCTATTGAATATAAAAATTACTATTCAGTACAGCATGAGAATATTTCACAATAATTTCACAGAATGCTTGGAATATGGTATTCTTAGAATCAGCTGGACAATATAATCCATAAATATGTAACAATAAATATTAATTTAATATAATGTGATAAACTTATAATTACATACTGAATACAAATGAAAGTGATTCAAAAGATGACTATATTAACTCCAAATGACTATAACAGTAACAGACAAAAACAGTATTTAAACAATTGACACCATAATTTATTGAGTACAGGTAACTCCCGTATAACACAGCACTTCTATAGCACGAATTCACTCTAACACGGTTCGAGAATTGGTACCATCCCCCGTATAACACGGCACTTCTATAGCACGGATTCACTCTAACACGGTTCGAGAATTGGTACCATCCCCCGTATAACACGGTACTTTTATAGCACGGATTTACTCTGACACGGTTCAAGAATTGGGTAAAACCCTCGTACAACAAGAAATGTAATAAATTTTTACATATTTAAGTAATAATAGTTCACGAAAATTCGTGAACTATTAGTACTTAAGTATGTAAATTTTCTCTTCTCGCCTTCTGTCGATACACGTTATCCTTCTCGAAACTTGTTTCAATGTTGCCAGATCGCGACGCTTCTGCTTCTGATGTTGCC